TATATTATTTACCATTGTCTTTTTAATTCATTTTTCTGTGAATATGTACTTTTAATAATAATAAAACAATATTTAATTAAATAAATGTAATTTATATTTTAATATGGTGAATTTTGTGATTTTTTTAGATGTGATGTGATATGAATAAAGAAAAAAAAAGTCATCATCATCATTTTCATCATCATAAATTATCATTGTAATAATCACTATTATTTTTATTTTTTACTTTGAATTGGTCTACTGTGACATCAGGGATAAGTAGCAAAATTTTTTTTTCATTAATAATTTTTTATGCCTAGGTTCAGAGGAAGATTCAAGTTCCCAGAGTAGACGTCTTGCTATCCAAGATACCATTGTGCAGAAGGGTAACGTCAAACTTCAGGATGTGGCTGGGCTTAAGGAGGCTAAGCAGGTGTTGATGGAGGCAATCGTCATGCCGTTACTGTACCCACACCTTTTTACAGGTATGAGTAATAATACCAAGCATTTGTAGTGCAAGGTAAACGTTTCCATAGTAACCCGCTCATGGCACGGTGACTCCATGCCCAAAGACTGTTTCAGGGGTTAAATTCTATTTAAAAACCACTCTACTCAATAGGTGCAGTATTATAATATTCAAATTAGTCCATTTCCATGATAATCATTTTGATAGCATGTAATCATTACAGTGTTATATTGAAAAACATAAGGCAGGCCTAGGTGTAGTTATTAGTTTAATGCCAATCTACTAGTAATTTCTCCAAAAATCAAGCTTTATGAATTTGATTTTCATTCTGAACTGAATAATTTTGATTATGTTTTTATATATAATATAAGTCTAGCTTTAATTAATAATTCTTTCGTTTTAACACTCTGACCGCCAGGGGTTTGAAAAAATAGTATAAGCCACCGCCAGAATTTTTAGCCAATTTTAACTCTTTTCCGTAGCTCGTTGAGAGTGCGTATGTGATCAGATTGACATGTAGTGAATACTACAAGAACTACAAACATTTTAGCTTTACATTGGTACCAAACACGTTATTCTAATCACAATCTGTGACCCGTAACAGTATAATGAAAATGACTCACTTTTGGAGACTTATGCAATTTCGCACAACGAAGCTGAGATAATCGCGATTTCGTGAAAGTAAATCAAGAACGTTCTATGCTAATGTAAACAAACAAATAGTGAAATACTTACGGTCCAGACTGAATATAGTGTTCAAATTGTTAGTACATGTCGGTAATTACCCTATCTATCGGATTCCGTAAAATAACCTGAAACACGGAGATCTCTGTGTTGGCGGTCAAGCTTTGCGTTACACAGAATTCTCTGTGTTTGGCGGGCAGAGTGTTAATGTATATTTTAATGTTTCAGTCATGTTCTGCCTGTTTCAAATATATTACCATTTTTATGATGGAAATCAACGTATCAGTATTTTTGCTCTATATGTCACCAATCCAACAAAATACTGACTTAGTTTGGCTAACTGTCGAGGTTAAAATACAAAATTCTGAAAATATTTTTATCAAATATAAATATCCAACAGATATTTTTTTAATAATACTGATGATAATTTTGATATGATATCTTATCTGCTTTTTATTAAATTTCAATATCCAACAGATATCTTTGTAATAACATTGATGATAATTTTGAGATGATAATTTTGATATGATATCTTGTCTGCAATCTTAAATGAAAGGTGCCCGTCAGCCATGGAGACGTATCCTGTTATTTGGACCACCAGGGACCGGTAAATCCAGACTGGCGCATGCCATATCGTCTGAGATTAACTCAACCTTCTACTCGGTATCAAGTGCAGACCTTGTCTCAAGCTTTGTTGGAGAGAGTGAGAGGTAAACAATTCAATAGCATTATGATTTAGTTTTTTTCTGATTTTATCTATATACTGCCCTCAATGTTTTGTGAAATATCAACTTTAACTGTCTGTGATGATGTCTGGAAAAAAAATCCTAATAATAATTTAATTGGTGGTTTAATATCATCAAATAATTACTGTAGTTGTAAATTGTTTTTATGATGTATAAATACTGTGTATCCATGGAGCACTTGTTCAACAATTTCAACTTCAATGTTGTTAACAGTTTCATACTTACTTATTTTCTAAGTTATTATTGTACTTTTAACTTTTGATGTCTGTATTTTATGCATGGCCCCCAGGGAAGAACAACCTTGGTTAAGTCTGGGCCAATTGGATTAAAATACAGAAGGTCATTTGTTCGTTCATTCATTCGTTCCTGCGTTCGTTCATTCTTGCATTCATTCATCCTTCCATTCATTCATTCATTCATTCATTCATTCATTCATTCATTCATTCATTCATTCATTCATTCTTTCATTCATTCATTCATTCATTCATTCATTCATTCATAGGAACTTTATTTTCTTCAGTTTATAAAGTATGTAGACTATAATGTATGTAGAAAAAAAGTAAACCTTATGTTATTATTCTGAACTTTTTTATTTATAGATTGATAAAAGAGCTTTTCCAACAGGCAAGTGAAGCAGAAGGAAGATCGGTAGATATATTTTTTTAGATAATATATTCATTGATTCTATGTAAAGCAATGAATGTAATGTAACTCAAGTTAGAGCAGTCGCTAAACTGGTGGTAGCTACTGTGTGGGCAATGATCTGTGGAAATTCTTTAGCACCCGGTTTAATTCCATCTGTTGTGTTTCAGCTGGAGGGCAGAAATGCAAGTATGAAAAATAGTATCATCTTCAGATGAGATATTTAAGCTGTTAGTCCCATGTGCGATATGGCCCATATGCATGTTAAAGAATGCAGTAGATTTTTCGGAAAAGAGCAAGGGATTTTCTCCCAGTCTACTGCCCAATTACCACCAAAGGGACCCCACTGAAAATATGCTTTTCGGACATGCGTGGGTTATTCTTTGCGCTCACACTGAATTCTGTTAAGTCCCGCCGTCATAGCGTCATAGACATAACATTTTGAACCTCAGCCCTAACCATGGTTGGGCTGAGGTAGTCTGGACCCTCTGCCCCACACACTCCACCCCACACACTCCCCCCTTTTTCTAATTTCTGGATCCATTACTGATGCAATTGATATATAGTCAAAAATAAAAACTTTTTTAATTACTAGGTTGTGTTCATTGATGAAATTGATAGCATCTGTCGAAAGAGAACAGCACGTGAAGAGGAACACACAAGAAGGATAAAAACTGAGTTATTGAAACAGATGGAAGGGTCAGCGTCTGGAGCAGAATCCGCACAGATCTTTCTCATGTGTGCCACCAATTGCCCCTGGGAACTAGACTCAGCTTTTTTGCGTCGATTTCAAAAACGAGTTTACATTCCACTCCCTGATAGGTTTGATATGATCTTTATGTTTAAGCATATGAGCCAAGGATTGCAAATACAAATAAAAAATAGAATTCTTACATGGAAGGAATAATCCTTTTTAATTAGGGTCAGTCCACACTACCAGATTTTTGACAAAAAATTGTATGCCCATATAGAGTCATGCTATGCCTATATATGGTGATGATGTGATGTCATCATGACCATATTTAGGCATGTCACATGTTTTTGTCCAATGAAATTTGATAGTCTGGACAGGGCTTAATACTAAACAGGCAAAAATTAGCTACATTACATTTTTCTGCTGTCACAGGAATTGAACCTAGGACCCTGGGCTTAGAAGGTAAGCACCTTAACTACCAAGCTATTCACCTCCACTTAATGAACCATCTGCATTGTATATAGTTTTAAATTTCATAGTTTTACATTTATTTAGTCCAGAACAATAAGACTGACATACACAATATAACAGAGAGAGGAAAAAATAACTCAATTGGCTGCACAAGATTGCCAAAAAGTTAACTAGATCATTGTCAAGTGGCTTTCCAGTGCCAATGGGAACATTATTAGCATAATTTTAGCACAATAATTGTGGAAATCAAGATTTGAATTGAATGAATGAGATTTTTCATTCAGAAATGCTTGACCATAAACAATGCTATAATGGATTTAAATAAAAAATTACCATGCTCCCTTCTTTCTCGTTTCTTTTCTTCTATCGTTTTTCTTTTTTTTTTTTAAACCAGATCTGCTTATGGTTACTGTATAATAATATCCAAAAAGCCATCTTCATTAATCTTATATTGGTTTCATACATGATAATAATACTGTTATAATTATAACATTATACAGTACTTTCATAATAATCATATTTGGTTTATAACAATAGAAACAATATATATATATATGTACTTTTTATTGTGCAATATTAATATGCATCCCTGAATTATGTACTCTAATAAAAAAGGAAACAAATTCCACATTACACAATGGGGAAAATAGTAATGTTTAGTGACAAGTTTCCATCTTTTTTGACATTTCATTTTAGGGAGGCTCGGATTTCCCTACTTAAGCTGCACTCATCCAATCAAGTAAGTTTGAGCGAGAGTGACTGGCAGATATTTGCTGACAAGACAGATGGATATTCTGGCAGTGATATCTCAAATATGGTATTGACAGCTCTGTTTGAACCAATCAGAGATCTGCAGCGAGCAACGCACTGGCGGCACACTTCAGGTTCGTTGGTACGATAAGGAACTTACCTAGATTAACATACCAGGTTTAGGCAAAAAATATCTTGTACTTTAACATTTCTGTTGATTTATATTATGTAATATATTTTTTTAATTTATATTATTTGTAAATCCTTCCAGTGTTCAGGTTGGGACCAACAGTAGCTAGATATAAACTAGATAAGATAACTTGTTTGTATGTTTTTGAAATTACTGAAATAAAAAAAAAAAAAAACTAGATCAGTTTGTGGTGTAGTACTTAGTAAATTAACAGCCTTGGTAAACTCTGGGGTTTTTGGGTTCAAATCCTATTTGGGTAACTTCGATATTAAACACTTGATGTAACACGATTCTGCCCACCCCTATAAGCAAATTTAGTACTGTACTGGCAACAAACATTGCCTCTTAGGGTGGTATGACACAGTTGGCATAAGGTCAGTGAGGGTATTTTGAAGTTCCTCCAGCACTGAGCCAGTTTGGTCTTTCTTTTTTGTTATACGATTGTGAACTCATTCCAATTTTATTCATTATTAGGGTGAGACTTTTGTAATCTCTTGTTATTGAATTTTTTTTTTAATTGTCAGAGGAGGGTGGAAAAAAAATGTTTTTTTTTATTTAGCAAAATTATTTTGCCAAAAGCATCAAGGCAGAGGAGAAAATAATAATAAAACTTTATAGATGAATGTAAACAGTGTTGTAATGACATTGATAAATGGTTAAATTTTTTATAATTATGGATAAAATATATATATCTTATTTTTGGAGATTTTAGTTAAGCTGAGGGCGTAATAATTTGGTTTTTCTTCCGAAATTTCCATTTCTCTATGACGGAGGATGTGCCAAAAATGAAATTTTATTTTTAATAAAAATCATCATTATTGGTAGTTGTAGGGTCCGCTAAACAAGGTATAAACAAGTAAATCCTAGTGTACAGTTCATTAGCACAAACATTTTACTTATCCCTGAAACTTTAGATGGCTGCTATATTCCGTGTTCACAAAGTACAGAAGGAGCATCCAAGATGAAATTGTCAGCTATTGAGAGCCATCAGATCAAGACACGTGACGTAGGATTACAAGACCTGATGAAAGCTATGAGTAGTGTGCATAAGACGGTCACAAAAACCGAGCTTGACCGATTCACAAACTTTACTCAACAATTTGGATAAAACATGTTATTTGGTTGATTGTAGGACTATTTGATTGATTCACATTTTTTTTTAAATGTAGAACTGTTACCAATCATTTGAAATTCCAGTGATAAATGAAAAAAGTGATGCAAACAATCTTGATTCGATATTTCTGACTTTATTCATTCATTTGAGGAATAAATTATGCACACAGTCTGA